TAACTTTCAAATGCTTCATTATACTTTTCTCAAACAAATATCATTTTGAAGTAAATTAAATTATCTATAACTTTGCATCTCTAAGATCAAGTCCAAAAAATGCTTCATTTGAGAGATATGGGCCAATACATTATAGGTCATTTCAAAAGTCAACAAAAAGACACTTTTTGTCAAGGCAACTTACATCAAGATAAATTATTCAAATGCAAAAATGATCAAAATAGGGATTATATAGGACATATTGAGATTTCCAAAAAGTACAATATAACCTTCAAATGATAAAAATTTAGAGAGTTATGACTAGTGCAAGTTGGGAAATTTTGAGAAAATGCATGAAACAAAAAGTGATCAAACTTAGAATTTTGGACTATTGGGCTGATGTTTCAAGGTCCAAACGTGTTATACACTTTATAGTGTACCTAAAAACTTGTTCATACACCCCCTTTGAGTTATTATATTTATTTTTAATTTTTAGTATTTTAAAAGTCAAAGTAAAATGAAATAAGAGCAAGCTTCTTACACAAGTCCAAGCCCACTATATCTTGACCTAATTCTCTTCTATATATTGTATGCATTTAGACAAAGAAGGAGGACGAAAACCTTGTGCAAGAAACAAATTCCAATAATCTCAAAAATCATCAAACTAGGGCAATCTTGAAACCCTAGTTTGCAGACATCTTCCAAGCATTCTATCATTGCTAATCAATTCCAGCAACACCACAAAGTAAGAATGGATTAAACCTGAGGATCCAAAGCTTCCAAAACCTACATGCATACATCTTCGATCTCATTATTTTTTCAAATTCACATTTTGATTTCCGTTTTGTTTTAAGGTATACTAACGCTATTAATGTGTTTCTGAGATATGGTTATACATGATTGGATCATCGTAGGAGTCCCATGCAATCAAAACCATGAATTGCCATGTTTGATTTGATCTATGTTGTTTTTGCTGTACATCCCAAACCAGTTTGTTTAAGCCTAATATAATGGTCCCATTTGATTCACAGGCATTGATTTAAGGGGGTAGGGTCCCCCTGGATTTCTAACATGTGTCTATTTTGTAGGAACAAAAAAGAAGCCACGGAGAAGACGACCAGAGCTAGGGCTCTGGCGCCTCTCCGGTCATGCAATATTTTTTCGATGTTATGTTTATTTTGATTCGCTGATAACATTGGATGTATCACCACTCTAGTGGTTAAAACGCGCGTTAAGGCTTTCCTTTATCAAGGCGTGGGTTCGATCCCTGCCTTTTGTAACTTTTTTCATAATTTTTTATTTTTGTAGGTTAACATACAAAGCGTGTTGATGCCATCTCTTGTACCAAAGCACGCGCTTGGTGCAGTGGAGAAGGTGTTGGCTGAAAGAGCTAAGGGTGTGCGTTCAACACCCACCCCTGACAATATTTTTTAAAACCTTGTTTTTTAATCAATTTTTCACTTAGAAACCCTAAATTCACCTAACCAAAACCCTTTTCTTACAAAAACCAAAAATGTTGTTTTCCATGAACCCTAACCAAATTATATTTTTAGGTTTAGTTTTTTTATTAATTTAATTAATAAATTTATTTTTTTATTTAAAATCAATTAGGGTTTTTTAGGTTAATCATCTAACTTTTTTTTATCGAAAATCACCAAAAACACTTTCGCTTTCCTTTTTCCTATTTTTACATTTTGCGTAGTTTATTTCTCACATTTCTTTTCTCTTAATTATTATGTAACTGTTTCTCGGTTTGTAATAGTAATTAGGGTTTACTTTTCGCATTTCTATTGTGTAACTTCCCCGAAGCATTGTAATAGTCTAGGGTTTACCTTTCCGCATTTATTTCCTGCACTTCAGTGTTTTTCATTATTTTTATGTTTACTGCTTAGTAATTAGGTCTTGTATGGCAAGATAATAACGAATCAATAGCTAACCTTAATTGCAAGACTAAAAATAACTGAAATACAACACACTTTGCATACGCACACCTCTAGGGTAGCCTCCCTTGTTTCCTTCAGATTACAAAACAGTTATGTCCATCAAACATGGGGATGTTTTAGCAAAGTCCCTCGAAAGCAAAGATCATAGTCCCTCGATGACCCTTTCAACATTGCCTTCGGTAAGTGATCTAGTCCCTTAACAAAAATTACTAAAGCGTCTCTACCAGTTGCCTTCGATGACTGTACGATGACCCACGTCTGTCCCTTCACATCCAACAATAGAGCTTCCTACTAACTAATGGTAGGATAACACTATCTAAAGGAGGAGGAAATTTACAAGAAAGACCTTGAGTGTTTAGAATATTTTTAATCGCTTGCTCACAAAAACAAAACATTTTTTACACAATTACACTCTTCCAAAATATTTTCAAATAAACACTTTGTAAGCTTTCTCAAGGACAGATACGAGAATCATTACAAAGTTTCACCTTACAATTGGAAAATTTCAAAATATTTTCAAACACGCAACACAAAGAAACTTTCAGAAAATGATGGTAACTCCACCATCTTCACCGTCATTTTATACTCTATCATAGACTCCTCTAAGAATGTAGGTCATTCCACCAATGATCATCACTCCTCAACTTCGTAAACTCACTCATCATGGTATCACAAAACTCATACATCATCATCTCGCGAAAGTCTCTCAACTCCTGACGTACATAATTATCCACCATCGAGATCCTTTCTTCTAATGTTTCCATTCGATCATAGAACATATGTGGTACGTACAAAACAAGAATTCACTAGTACCTCTCAAAATATCCGGTAGGTCGGACCAATGATAGAAACTTTCAGAAAATAGTAAATGAAACTGTTTAAAGGAATGGTGAAATGAAGTTTTTGTATTAATCAAAGGAAAGGTAAATAGATAAAGTGTATAACCAGAGTAGAGCTCCTCCAGAGAATACAATCTCATAATACAATGATAGCAATAATCATGTGTATCCCTCACAAACACTCCCCTCCTCCATATATCTCTCACTACTAACAACCTTCCTAAGAATCAAGGATTTCCTTTGCCATATCACTAACATAATTACTCCCCACTTTCTTACCCCTGCAAACATAGACTCTCCAAACAGAAGGATTGGGCCTTTCATTAGTAACAAGACCAATTGGGGTATCCCTTTTCTTCAACATAAATCTTCCATGAAAGAAAGTTTTTCAACTATTAACCTCGACAACATACTTAGTTTCCATAATATAAATAGAACTTGTGTTATCCTTGGAGTAGGTGTGGGAAACTGCTTCAAAGGTATATCACAAGTATTCTTTTAATCTTTCTTAAAATATTTTATTTGATATTTTAATATATCCATAGTCATTTTATCATAGTTTTGTCAATCAAATGTATTACAATTTACTACTATATTAAGGATTGACCAAGGAAATGAATGAGAGTACATTGCCATTAAAATTAAACGAGGATACACAAAATTACATCAAATAAAAGGGCGCAAATTAAACAATATTCTTCATTCACGTGGATGAATCAATAAATGCGATTTTAAAAATTATGTTCACTTTAATCAGTGACACAAAATATTCTGAACCAACAAGGTTGCAAACACTATCAACCCTGTGAAGTTAAATCACCCTTAAAATTTCATAAATGTGGAGTGATGTGAGGCTATGTGTGCTGATCAACCCAAAAAATTTAACTACATGATCATGGGAAGTCTAACGAGTGTTCTAAATGGCTCTCGTGCTAGCGGGAAAATCCTAATGAAATGTCACACGATTCGATGAAATAATCATATCAATTATAACTTTTAACTTTATTTTGATTTTTTTTTGGATTGATATAATGTCATAGAATGGAATAATATGAGATGTGATATAATAAAATTTCATTATTTTGACTAGTTAAAATCAAATGGAGCATAACAAAAATGAAGTGATATTTATTTCATTTAAATCTTTCATTTACCATCATTTTCCCTTATGATATATGCATAATGATAAACTTATTTTTTATCATTAAATATTTAAACTATGGAATCAAATCTCTAGTCCATTCAACTATATTTCTCTATACTAATTTTCATTCTACTCCGTTCATTTTTAAGATGACTAAATATAACCTTAATCTATATTTAATTAGTTATAATAGAATTTTCAATTTTTTTCCTCAATTTGGGACTAATTTGTGCTTAGGTTAGTGTGTTGGAAATATATTATTATTTAAAAAAAAGTATACTAGACATAAAACCAAATGTATTGAATACACAAATTGGCCGCGGTTTAATTGGATTGTTGATTCAGATTTATTCGTTGTTATGAAAATATTTATGAATATGTTATTTTGTTCACTTAGATTAATTGGATCGTTGACTCAGATTTATCCGTTGTTATGACAATATTTATAAATATGTTATTTTGGTCACCCAGATTAATTGCATTGTTGACTGAGATTTATCCGTTGTTACGAAAATATTAATGAATATTTGATTTTGTTGACTCAGACTAATTTGGTTGTTGACTCAGACTTAGACTTATATCATCAAATTTTAAAATATGTATTTTATTTTATAAATATACTCATATAGAATTTAAAATTTTAAGTATTATTATTTTAGAATATATTAATGAATATTTCTTAATATAAAATGTTTTTGAAATGATTATATTATTAATTTATTCTTGTGCTCCTTAATGTGTCATGTTGTAGGAGATAAGTCAATCATTCTAGATTCAACCTTTTTTAGTAAGGTAAGTCTTAAATTAGTTTTATATTTCAAATTCAAATTAATGATTAAACTATGATTCTTTTAATATTGACCAATGAATTTGATTGTTTGACTATACCATTTTTTATTACAAAACAAAATAAATTGATATGTATTAAAGCCTATTCATAACACATATATCTTTATTTCTCTTCATTTATATTACATTTTTTTGTCCTTTCCACAAACTCTAAGAATATATATCCTTACTCAATCAATCTGTGGGCTTAGACACACTCTCAAGTAGAGCTTATATATCATGGTAGGATCCAATAGAGAGAACAACATGGCCGCTCACATCACTTCTACCACCACCACCACCACCACTAACATCATGCCAACACCAACATCTACACAATTGTTCCCTAGGAGAAACAATAATCTCCTTATAGATTCAAGGGAGTTCCTTGCCTCATCCTCCTCGAAAAAGCCTAAAGGTAGACCTTTAGGCTCTAAGAATAGACCCAAACCACCTGTTGTTATTGAGGGAAACCCTAACATGTTAATGGAACCAATTTTCATCCAGATCCCAGCTGGAAATGACGTTGTTGGGGCTCTTATCAACTTGGCTCGAAGTCATCGGGCTAATATCACCGTATTGAGTGGTTCTGGTCTTGTCTCTAATGTTACCCTTTTGCACTCCATATCTCGTGTCCCTGCTTTCCCTATCAAAGAAACATTGCATATGGTATCTCTCTCTGGAACTTATGTGAATGCCAACTCTGTTGGTATCCCTCGCCAATTTGTTGCTGACCAATCACGTTCATCGTTCTCCATTTATTTTTTTGGAGATCGTAGACAGATGATTGGTGGCGTTATTGGAGGAAAGATTGAGGCTGTTAGTGTTGTTACCATTAGGGCCACTCTTTTTAAAAATCCAGAGTTTCATAAGGTGGCTATTATTAACGGAGTTTTTCAAGAAATTGAAGGCAATGACACAATCTATGCTGGTGGTGTCATTCCTAATGTTGATCGTGTTGCATATGAACCTGCCACCAACAACCATAATGGAACTCATGTGCAAGACATCAATGTTATGGGTTCCAGTTTAGCTCAACCAAATCATCAAATGATTCATCCTTCTCTTCCACCAAATGTGAATTTCATGCAGTGGAATCGCAACCGCTCCACCCGTAATGATAACTATTAGCTACAACAATACTCTCAGTGTCTCCAATGTGATTTGTTGAGTCTTTTCTCTATTTGAATAAATGGAATTAATTTCTTGTTGTTATGTCCTATTTAGGAGAGATTAATAATTACAAAATTTATGTGTCCCTTTGTAATCAGGGTGTTTAATTCCCTTCATTGAAATGTTTTTTATATGTTTTGTCTTCTTCTTTTAGTTTGTTCGATAGGAATATAATTTTTTTAATGTGTTTTTATAATCGTTAATTATTTCTATTCGCATGAATGATCACTGTGAGTGTAAATTATAATTTTTATGACATATAATAAAACATTCAATTCATTTAACATTATATTCTCTCTCTTTTTTTTTCATTTGGCCCATGTATTTTAAAGTTTTTATTAATATTTTGTATTAAGTTAGAGTAACTTTCACACTCATTTATATGATATGGTATAGACGCTTATAAGACCTCATATGCCACCCAATATCTAATCTCGAGATGCAAATCAGAGGGTTTACATCTCTCATAATACAAATATTGATTCTCATTTTCTTCTACATTTTTTGTTTTCACTAACTGGATATAATTTTGTAAATTTTTCTTATAAAAACAAAGGTTAATATTTTGGTCACTATTATATAGGCAAATTTTTTTTAAAAATAATTTCATAAAAAAGTTTACGTTTGAAGATTTTCTTATTTTAGTTTTTTAAAAATAGTTTTTAATTATTTGGACCGCTAAGTTGGTTTTTCTTTTTTAAATTGACGTTGGCTTTTATTATTATTTTTTTTTAATATTTGAGATCTTAAAATTTATAAAAACTAAAACTTGGCATAAGTTAAATTCGAACCCAAATGTTAGAGTAACATGGACAAGAGCCCCCCGACAAATAAGATATGCATTGTTTGAATAACACATCCCAAAAAATGTATTTAATACATAATTAAATTGCAATAATAGTTGAAATATATTTCAATTATAGTTTTGTTTCAATTATCTTTCTCTCTTTTTTGGTGACAGACCCAAAACCCTAAGTTAGAGGTGCAAGAGTTTTTTAATAAATTTTTTTATATAATATTTTTTATATTATTACTTTTCAATAATATATATATATATATATATATATATATATATATATATATATATATATATATATATATATATATATATATATATATATATATTTCTCTTTCTCTTTCTTTTAGTGGTAGAACAGGACCCTAGGTTATAAGGTGCAAGCGCTACTACAAAAAATATGTTTAACCTCAAATACGAACGGGATTTAACCTCGGTTACACAAGCGAGATAATGAAGGGTGCCTTAAAAACTTGCCACTTTATCCATCAATTTTTTATTAATCGAGGGTTAAAATTTTCTACACATGGGTTCAATCACCAACAATTGCATTTTTATTATTTTAAAAACTTGATGGCGCGTCTAAAATTTGCTCTTAGTTGAAAGTAAAAAATTATTATTTATTATATTAATTAAGGGTAAAACATTATTATTTATAAAAGCAATATTATTACATGTGTTTCTTATATTAACCGAGGGGAAAGCATTATTATTTATTTATTTATTTCTATATTTTGTTTGAACTTGTATAATAGAATCATATTTTGCCCATTTCTGAAACATAAACATTGTACCTTTTACCCATTTTTCAAATACAAACATTGTACAAAAAAATATTCATTGTTTACATCATTTGCAAATCCAAAATGGTACACACCTTATAATTTTACAATAAAACTAAAAAAATGATTAACCAACAAAAGTAATAACTAAAATGAAAAGTATTGTAGGACGTCCAAAAGTACTCTTCCCTGATTTTCACCGGTTGTTAAACACGTATAATTTGAATAACATTTGAAACAAATTAGGATAATCAACAATGTGGAACATTATTTTGCAGGTAATATACCTTTAATCAAGACAACAACTTTTGATGATGACAATTAAGTACAACTATGATGACAACTAAGGACAAATAATAATGAGTCAAACATATCACTTAAACGGTTAAAGATGCAAACCTAAATGTTATGCTTTGATACACTTGATCCTCTGAAGAAGGAAAATAAAGTAAATAAAATTGTTATAGTTTGATGAACTATCCGAATAAGGTAAGAAACATGGAAACTGTCCAAAGCCTCAAGTAATCTCAAGAAGTGTCACCACAAAGATAATATCTGACAAAGGGCTTATAGGAAAGAATACAGTCTCTTGATTTAATAAGTGAGTGAACTTATGTAAGAACATGGTTGTTCCATAAAAGAATAAGGCTATAAGCACACCCACAAAAACATTTTTCAAATATTTTTATCTAATAGAAAACATCTTTAAAAATGTATTGGAGTTGTGTTAGATGACTTAGGAGTGTGGAAATAGCTAGAGGGAAAAATAAACTTATCTAATCTGAAATTCTGGTATCAGATATGTGATGTAGAATGAGATGTCACGACACAAATATCTGTTTGCAAGTCAGGTGCAGTAAAATCAAAAGCAGTAAAAACACAAGAGATTGTTCACCCAGTTCAGTATACAACAACACCTACTCTGGGGGATACCAATCTAGGGACAAGTTCACTAAATAGTATCAATTCATAGACCCTCAGTAAAAAATCAGTTTACGATCTAATCACTTAATCACTACCTAAGCTAAACTTTTACCTAAGACTCACCTAAGTATGAGGCCATCCTCAAATCCCTTCAATCACTTATAGAAGAACTTAACATAATTAATAAGTTTGAAATACTTCAATCATTCAATGCTTAAAAGCTTATGAATGATACACAATTAACAACCCAAATAACAACTCAAGTATTTAAACTAATACTTAGAGTGTATTATAAATAAAAAGCCAAAACTTCTGTTGTACCCCAAAGTTTACCCTCTTTATTTCGACCTTTTTGGCTTACATTTCATTATTACATACATGCATATCATTGGTTTTATGGTTATGGAATCAAGGTATATTTAGCAAACTTCTTCAGGTTACAAGCGACATTTATTTCGTCAATGGATGTTCTCAGAGTATTTTTCATGCTGAAGATCGGTTCGCCGTTTCACAATGATTCGGGTTCAAAGATTCACGAGTCCAACCCGGCGCGTCATATTCATGTGTTCTTTTGCCAAGGTATCCCTGATAACATATTCTCAAATTCAGGTTCGGCTCGAGAGCCAATTCTTTAAAGAAGGTCTCCGAATGTGTGAGTTTTCTTGAAGAAATATGGTGAAAAAGTGTGCTGAAAGTGTAGTTTTTACGCACTAAAAAATTCATAACTTGAAGATTGTGGCTTATTTTGAACCCGTTTCGGTGGCCAAAATTTCGTCTTGATGTCATCTATATTTTCACCTCTCATGGCTGGAATCCAATTTCGATCAGAAGGTCTTCAAAAATGCGAATTTATCAAGTATTTTCGTACAGAAAACTTGTGACAAGTTTATTTGCGTCATGTTCTAAAAATCATAACTTGGTCGATTTTCATCGTATCGAGCTGGTTCCGGCGCAAAAATTTCAAAAATTGAGTTAGCTAAGTTTTCACAAGAGGTATCAAGTTCGAACGGTATCCAAAAGGCCTTCGCTTTTTGCTCAGAGTGCGCGTGACACGCCGAAAATCCTGAATGCTAAATATTATTTCATCTGGGTTAAAACTTCGAAAATTTATAACTCGATCAATTTTTATCGGGTCGGACCCATATTTTTACACAAGGTTACTGACTCAGAGATCTACAACTTTGTTTCCAAGGTCGAGACCGGGTTCTGCTCCTATCAATACCCGTTTTTTATTGAAGAACGTGTCAGAGTTGACACTGGAGCCCAAACTAAGTATGTCTAAGGCGAAACTTCAAAAATTCATAACTAATTCACCGTTTATCCGATTGAGCCTATTTTTGGACAGGACTTAGTTCTCGATGTCAGATATATTTTGTTTTCACATTTCAACTTCAAAAGTTGCACTTAAGCCCATGCGATTTAGCTTGGAACATGACGGACTCAAGTGAATAAAAATCTACACTATTGCTTGTGGTTATTGGAGGCTGTTGTACCCCAAAATTTGCCCTCTCATTTCTCAAGGGATCACCCTGGATCCCAGGTTTGCTTCTATCAAGTTTTCAAGCCTTGAACTACAAATTTTCCAAGGAAATCACTCACAAGGGCAAAATGGTCATTTGCACACAAAAAAGTCAAACTATGACTTTTGGATCAAAATCAAGGTTCAAGAATCATATTTCATCAAGACACGTTGAAATATGAAGTTTTGTTTCATCAAAATCTAAAAGTTCAAAATTCTAAATACTTAGAATTTTTTCTAAGTGTTTAAGAAAATATGACAATTTTAGAACTTCTGACCAAGTTATCACCATAACGCTCAGCAAATTCTGGACACTCTCAAGGTAGAGTTTGGTCAAGACTTATGGGCAAGTTTTCACAAAAAGCTTCAGTCAGAGGTTGCGAACATGGTTCAGAATATGACGTTTTAGTCAGAACATGTGGAAGCAATGTTCTCCTTCAGAACATGCTGGAACCAGAAGATACAAAGATCAGAGGATGGATGCTACGCTGAAGCAGAACTTCTGATCCAGAACAAAGCCTTGGTGTAGAGTTTCACGTTACAGGATTTCTGGTTGTGATAAGTCTCATCATCATTTAATGCTCATTTAATGCTCACAACCACCTTCTGAGTCTTTATCCAAAGGATCTTCACCACGTGTACCTTTATTATCTTGGGATAGCAACTTTGCTACTAAGCACATGCTTTGCTTTTGGCTTTTCCTTAATTCCTGCTGACAACCACCATGCTTGCTTCAAAAACAAGGCAGCGCTTCAGCATATGAAGGCTATATATCAACGCTTTGGTTAGAACATGACCAAATCCCAAAACCTTGTTTATACAACTTGCTGCAGACCTATGACCAACAACTGGTTCAGCTCACGCCTGCATCCCATGATTACACCAAACTAGCATACGAAAACTGTGATGAAAAAGCAAAAGAACGGGATGCCAAAAC